GACAATCCACACTATGAAAACTTACAAAGAAAGTTTGAACACCTGAAGAATGCAAAATTTGTTAATAATGATCGAAAAGCTCAATTACCTGTACATATCGTTTTGGGAAGCGGGGAATATGCACGGATAAAAACTCGCACAAATCCTCTAGTGGGAACTGAGGGGCAACCAATTGCAGAAAAAACAAAACTCGGATGGTTTGCCATGAGCCCTGGTGTGGAACCAAACAGTAAAAGGATGTTGCTTACCCAAATTTCCCTGAAGGATTATGAAGATCTCTGCAGGTTGGATGTGCTGGGCCCAGCAGACACTGCTGAACACGAGCAATCAATGGTGTATAACGAATTCAAAGAGCAATTAACGCGATCACCGGAGGGCTGGTACGAGACCGGTCTTCCATGGCGCGGAAATCATCCACCTCTCCTATCGAACAAAACAGGAAGCATCAGAAGGTTGGAATCTTTAGAGCGACGACTAAAGCGAAAGAAATTAACTAAAGATTACAACGCAGAAATCCAAGACCAAAATCACAATGGCATAGTTGAACCAGCAACTAACGTAGCAAAAGGTAATGAATTCTACATACCTCACAAAGAAGTCGTACGTGAGTCAGCGCAGTCCACAAAACTGAGAGTGGTGTACAATGCATCAGCAAAAGCTTCACCAGAAAGTCCTTCTTGAAACGAATGCCTGTACGCGGGACCTTCGCTAAATAACAAGCTGTGGGAAGTGCTGGTAAGAGCGTGAAGTTTTCCTGTTGCAATCACTGGGGATATTCAAAAGGCATTTCTCCAAATTCGTGTACGCGAAAGTGAACGGGATTCTTTAAGATTTCACTGGCGACCAAATCCACAGGCTGAGGTAGAAGTACTACGGTTCACGAGAGTATTGTTTGGATTGGTTTCGTCTCCATTCCTACTTAGGGGAGTTCTTGAAACGCATTTGGATCACTGGAAAAGCAAAGCTCAAGACGCAGTTGAGGCTCTGAAAAGGTGTCTGTACGTTGATGACATCATTTCAGCAGGATGCACTGTGGATGAAGCACGAAAAAGGTTATTGGTAGCTATTGACATTCTGGGTGACGCAACCTTTATCCTTCATAAGTGGGCGTCAAATGCAAAGGAGTTGGATGAAGGTAGTGTTAACAAAACTCATGAAGAGCAAACAGCTGCCAAACAACAATTTGGGGTGCAACCAACGGAGACGAAGATCCTGGGTACAACGTGGAATAAAGAGAAAGATACGTTAAGTGTACAAATAAGACATTGTGGGAAATTGCCAACGAAGCGCAACATTTTAAGTCGACTAGCGAAGATTTATGATCCAATGGGAATTGCATCCCCTCTGCTTTTGCAAGGCAAACAAATCTATCGAGAGGTGTGTGACCTGAAATTACCTTGGGACGCAGAATTAATTGGTAAATTGAAGCAGAGCTGGGAGAAGTGGGAAAACACCTTACCAAGCGAAGTGACCGTGCCAAGAGCGGTTCTGTCGTTCCAAGAACCCGTCTGTAGTTTAGAGATTCATGGATTTGGGGATGCCAGCGGTGAAGGTTTGTGCGCAGTCGTCTACACGGTCGCTAAACAACCATCTGAGTTACTCAGGAATTACTGGCAGCGAAATCAAGACTTGCCAAAAGAAGACTGACTATCCCGAGGTTAGAGCTTGTTGTAAGTCATATGGCCGCAAATTTGGTCTCCAATGCTATCAATGCGCTGAGACACATTCCACACAGAAAACACTGCTGGTCAGATAGTACTGTAGCATTATGGTCGATTAAAGGAGAGGGTGATTATAAACAATTCGTGTCGCATCGAGTGGCAAAAATCCGAGATTCTAATGAGATCGTGTGGCATTATGTGCCAACAACCGACAATCCGGCCGACCTCGGAAGCAGAGGTGGCAAACTGACCGAGATGTGGATGAAAGGTCCTGCCTGGCTATCAGAGCGTAGTCTTTGGCTACCAGATCTTACAGTCAAACCGTCGATTGGCTCCCAACGTGAAGCAAAGGCGATGAGAGTAGTTTTGAGCACGGCTATTCAGCGGTCAGACTTTGCAATATTGAGTGATGTTCTTGAAAAACATCCATTGCGGAAGGCGATTCGTATTGAGGCGTGGGTGAAACGATTTATTGATAATGCTCGACAAAACAGCGATGATATAAGGCACGGGCCACTGACATTTGAAGAAGTGGAAGAGCAAAACATGTCATGGATAAAAATGGTACAAGCGGAGTCGCAGAAAACCCAAAGTCTCAAACGGATCTGATTCAGTTAAATATACGACCGACGATGACAAGATTTTAAGATGTCACGGTCCGATATAAGGAGAGTTCCCTATTTACTTGCCAGATGACGCTCTATTCACCGTGAAGTTAGTGGAAGATTCACATTTGGAAACACTCCATGGGGGAGTTATACTTACGATGGCAAAGGTCCATGAAAGGTATTGTGTTCCTCGGCTTCGTCGACTAGTCAAAAAGCAAAGGAAGAGATGCTACAGATGCTAGAGATCCAGGACCAAACCGTATCAAGCTCCAATACATGCTCCTTTACCAAAGACTCGAACAAAAGGAACCACACCGTATAAAGTTATTGTTGTCAATTTCGCCGGTCCGATTAAGTATAAAGTCAAGAAAAATCAATAAGGAAAAGCCTATTTAGTGCTCTTTTCCTGTAGTTTGACGCGAGGAGTCTATCTTGAAATGTTGAAGAGTCTTGAGACAACTTCGTTCGTGCAAAGTCTAAAACGGCTCATAGCAAGGCGAGGTCGTCCTTCGCTGATCTATTTGGACAATGCGAAAACGTTCCAAGCTGCAGTGGCATGGTTAAAGAGAGCAATGCAAGACGAGAGTTTTCACAGCGAGCTCAGTAAATATAGCATTAAATGGAGATTCAATCTGTTCCGCGCATCCTGGTGGGGAGGCCAGTTTGAGCAATTGATCGGTGTATTCAAATCATCATTTTACAAAGTCGTTGGTAAAGGACTTCTGAAATTCGATGAACTGGCAGAAGTTGTTCTCGACGTAGAAATTTGTAGGAGTAATCGACCACTGAGCTATGTAGAGGATGGTGTTGAGCTCCCCGTACTGACGCCATCTTTGTTCGCACTGCAACAGACGAATGTCATCCATGAGGTTAAGAGTCATCACATTAAGGACGGTGAATTACGGAAGCGAGCAAAGTATTTGTACAAAATCAAAACCCAATTGTCAAACAGATGGCAGCGAGAATATTTAACAAGTCTACGTCAACGCAATCAAGTTAACAAATCAGCAACGGAGTCTCATCCGAAAGAGGAAGATATCGTTTTAATTAAGGGTGATGAGAAAAATAGAAATATGTGGAAGATCGGAAAGGTAACGATGTTGATCCGCGGAAGGGATGGAGTTGTGAGAGGAGTCAAACTTCAGTGTGGAAAAATATCTCTTGAGAGGCCAATCCAACTGATCTATCCTTTAGAATTACAATGTGACGTCAGCAACCATCAAAAGAAGTTGCGAGTGAACGCCAAAGAATTCAGACCAAGACAACAAGCTGCTGCGGTTGCGGAGGCGATAAATCAGGAGCTAATGGAACAGGAATGAAATAAACTTCGAGACAAAGTGATATAACATGTGACTCACTCGTAGTCACATGTGGGGGAGGGTGTTGCAAATTATGTTGAAGTTGTGTTGGGTTTCAATTGTATATTCGAGTACGTCGGGGAAGATAGGGAACAATGCAGACAACATGAGTGGAACGGAAGTAGAGAGAGCAGAGAACGGAAGTGAGAGGGGCGAGACAAGGGGGGAGAAACGAGATACTTTGTGGAGTAAGAATGGAAATTGTTTAAGAAACCAAAGTTGTTATTGTGATTATTCTTCGTGCTCCGAAAACATTGGGACGGAGGTCAATTTTCGGAATAGTACTCCAAAATCGTCATGATTATAATCATGCTTGAGAATAAAGTCCGATTTTTCATGATCAATTCGAGATGTATTAACAGAGCTTTTACACTTAATCGCAACTGCTCTTGCTTTGGTATATAGTATTTTGCAGGGAAATTGCTACCTCTTTCTCTAAATTTATCTCTGTGCTCAATGATATGTGTATTCCTGTGCTGACAGAGAATTGCTACAAAGAATTACTCTATTTTATAGGTGAAGAATTGATTGACGACACTGGTCTGCTTTCTAACAATGACGTGTCAAAAATGGACGAAACGCTGGGAAAGCTTGATAAAGATGGCGACACTTTCCCAGTAGGAAATAGTGTTGTACAGTTACAAGGTATATTTATCTAAAATTTGTTACTTTGCAATATGTAAAACAGTTTTACATTGTAGCTAACATAGTAATATATATCAGTGAAACCTGAGTTTTTCTATTAACGCAAAAGTGGTCGTTAATGACAATGAGTTATAAAGCAGGTTTGTGAATGACGGCATGAATTTGAATTTTTTTAACTACATCCATATTATTTATATGATGAAATTTTAATACATTGGTACCGATAATTAATAACTTATTATTTTTTAAGACAGAAAAATAACTTTTTATGACAGCATTTGGATTATAGTTATACATGTACGCGTAATGGTGGGGAAATCGTTACTTTGGATTGTTTTTATTTTGCGTGCTTTTCCCTTGCCTTCTCGCCCTTTCAATGTTTAGAAAAGTTTAGCGTCAAAAGTTTCAGGCCTCAAGCCTCAGTATGGTGGGGACTGGTGGTGGTCCATCCCAAAGTATGACATTAATCTTTTTCTACTGAATATTTTAACCCTAATTGATTTACTGAATATTTACTGAATATATACTGAATATTTTTAACCCTACATCTTGAGAGTCATTTGACTCTGAAGATGTCTACCGCTAAGGTTGTCAAAACGTCAGTCTTCATCAACAAAAACAGTCCTTCTCAGGACTATACCAACCTGGACGATCTACATTCACAAACATGTAACGATACTCCCGGGTTCAAACCATTTACTTTATATTGCAATTCATTGAAGACTTTGTTGTAATAACTTATATTTTAATAGACAATATTTTCCAATTGCAGCACATGAAGAGGAAAACACTACAAGTGTGGTGGGGACTGATGGTGGTCCATCCCAACGTATGACATTAATATTTTTCTACAGAATATGTTTAAAATGTTTTGAAATATAAAATTTTTTATGACCCTACTTTATTAATAATATTTTAACATTGTATTACCTTTGTTACATTACAGATAGAAGAAACAAATTTCATGGTATGGTACATAATATCATAATTTGTTAAATACTTTGTTGTAAGAGTTACAATTTTTTCAATTTCCATAGGCAGATGTCAGAAGTGTGGTCTTTTTGGCCACCACATAACTGAATGCAGAGCAAGTAGGTTCACATTTTTGTAGTATAGACTCTTGTTGTTAATATAACAATCTGAAACATTAATATTTTTTAGGAATGATGTGTCGATATTGCAAAAAGAAAGGGCATGTCAAACAAACATGCCCTATTTTAGCCAGAAAAATTTCGTCTACTCGAAGAAGAGTGACAAATGTTTTCAAAAATTGCCAATTTAAAGGCAAATTAATGTAGTTTATTGAAAAACAACGTTAATTGTGTTCATTGTGTTATTACTATATTTGCTTATTATATTTTATTGGATATTACAATTTATTTTATTTATATTTTTACATATTTCTTTTAATATACATTGGATTCATTTCTACCTTGGCAAGTTCATTTTCTTTTTCAATTTCCTTTGATTATACTTGGTACAACTGCTTTAACAGCACCCTGTTATAATAAGATACAGACCAACATTGACACAGCATTTAATACATACATATTATTATATGGATTGCTTTTACCTTTTTGCAGAAATTCACAATTTTCACTAAATAGTTGTATACAGACAAGCCGTATATCGAATGTAAATCTTATTCACTTAATAAATCTAAAAAAAATTCAAGTTTAGAGTAAGTTTATTGGTTTACTTGAGGCTAATATCCGTTAAAGGCACCTGTTTTTTGTTTGCATTATACTTCACCACAGTGCTCGCACTCTAAGTAAGTTATATCGTGAGAACAATGGTTTTATTTACGAGTAGTCTGCCGAAATGCATAGTGCCTCTTTCTAGCTGTAAAAAACGGTTCCTTTGAATTGTTGGATTAGTGTTCTGGTTAAAACTGTTCTTTTAAGAACTATTACATTGTTATTATCACCATTCACCATGGTATTTGCCATTTTGAAATCCATCTTTAAATGGTTTTATTTTATAAAAACATGTCATGAGCCGTTTGATAATAGGTATTTGCCCAAATTTTAAATTATGACCAATCAATTTAATCATGAAAGGCAGATAAAAGAAAATATTTACCAACATTTGTAGTTAAGGTGAGTATTGGTGTTTTTAAAAAACGTTAAATATTGACATCTTTGATTTTTGCAGGTTTTAATCACCAGCTATATAACCGACACGATTACATCTCAAAATTCAAAACAACTTTACTGATTTCTATCGAAAATATTCAAACTTTCTTACCTTGAATTTTATTCGTAATATCAATCTACATGTGCCGTAATAATTCAACGCCATGTTTACGTAAAAACATATAAATCAGGAGGGAGTGAATATTGAAAAAAATTTTTAAAGCGGAAGTTTTGACAACCAAAATCCGCCATTACCGCCATATTTTTGACGGTTAGCACTATTTTCCACCCAGCAAACCGCCCTTTTCTTTGTAATATAATATTTTACACAATATAATATTTTACACAATCTAATATTTTACACAATATAATATTTTACACAATCTAATATTTTACACAACAGGGGGGGATTTAGACTGTTGCAAACGTTGCAAAGGCAACAGTCAGAATTTTGCAAAAAATATCAGTCCCATAAAAATTGCATAAAACGATTTATGGGGTTCGCAATTTTGCATTCATGCGTAGTGCAAGTTGTACTTCGTTAAATTAAGGTTATACAAAGACTAACATGAAGTATGTGCCTATAAATCATCTAAACGCGATCGCATCGTTCAAAATCACACTGAATGGATTATGATGAAATCGGCAACAGTTTGTTGCTTAATTTAGCGAGCTTTGGCTACAGCCAGACGTGCTAACCCAATCACATTGCTAATTGTGGCAACAGTCGAGCGTTGCTTAACCAATCATATCACAAATCACAGCAACAGTGACAGTGGCAACAGTTCGATACAATTGCGTAATTTGCTTTTATGACTTAATTTTGGTGTATGGACAACTTAATTGTGCTAATTTGGAAACATTCAAAATGTCATCTTACGATACGTTAAAGCAACTGCGCAGTTTGTTGAATAAACCGCCTTCCTATGACGAAAAGGCAAGAATGAGTGGGATTTCATCACTTCGGCAAGAATGCGAGAGAATTATTGCAGCCAAACTGAGTAAAACGAGTAGGCGACATACAGCATGTTCATATATGTCAATTTTCAAAACTGCAGTTCCCTCGAAGTCAGGAATTACGCTGCATAAATCACTTCCCAATAAAGTTAGTAAGTTAATAAGTAATACGTGCCACACTGGATTTCACTAGAAAAATTCGACAAATTTTATAATTGACTAGACTTTGTGATGTACTGTATGCAACTGTGCAAATAAATTGTTATTGTGTCAATTTTGCAAATAAATTTGCACAGTAGATCTGTAATCTGCAGACTCAAAGGCTCTATGACTTCTTAATGCACATGCCTTTAATGTTGTATTTAATATTATTTATATTGTGTGGTTTGTATCATTTGTATTTAAATACATTTGTTTGTCACTTCCACATATGTGGTGGTGGTATGGACAAACCCAAGAGCATTTGAAATTTAAGTTTTAATGTGAAATGACTCATTCCTGGATTTGCTTATGTCTTTACGGCTTCTACTATATGGATAGGTTATTTAGATAAATGCTGATATTTTAATCTAAGTAATGATTGTGGTTATATTTATAATGCAGGCATAGATTTAAAGGACGTAATTTTGATGCAGATACATATCATGTGTCTTCCCTGTAAAATTATTGCAGTTAATGTATTGCTGTCATAACTTATAAACTCTGTAAAACATAATGTTTTATTTCTATGTCATTTGATAATTTGCACTTATTCCATTGTTATATCAAAATATAGGACTTCTGGTGATGGTAATTGTCTTTATAATTCATGCTCCATTGCAATGTGTGGTGATGAAACCTTAGCCACCACTCTTCGATGCCTTACAAGCATAGAATTGTTTATGAATATACCTTATTATTCTTCCCATCCTTTGATTGAACAGCAGCATAAGCAAGGTGCGTTTAGTTGTAAGGAAAATGCATTTGCTATGTGTCTATCTGATGCTGCACTTGAATGTTTTGATAAAAAGATCAGAAAAGGCTATTTTTGAAGAACTTTGTAGAAATGCTAATGATCAAGTTTATTCATCTTTCCTGTGTTTGATGTCATTGTCAAGCGTCATCAGACTTCCTATTGAGTCTTATTATCCCATTTCTTCTTCTGATGTTATGGATTCTCTTTCAATTATGTTTAATTGCACTATCCAACCAAGGGAGATGTTTGAATTGGCAAAAGAGACTGACAAAATACACATCTTTCGTTGTGCATTTCAACCAGTGGACTATTTAGAAAAGAAGAATGCCCCAAAAGCAAACAATCATTATGTACCTCTCTGTCGCAAAAATCCAACATTTGCATTAGTGATGAAGCACTATTTTTACTCCTTATCTCCTAAATATGTATTTTCCTGAAATCTTGTCCACCAGTTTCATTAAAACGCTAACGAGTCCCTGTCAGCTTTCCAAGATGTCTCACCACATAAGGAAACACAAATAAGTGTCAAACCAGCCAGTTCAAAAAAGTTCAAGCAAACTTCTCTTGACCAAGTCATGACAAAAAGAAGAAAGATATTGGAGGAGCCCACCACTAAAACACTGTTCGAAAGGAGAATTGTGCCTTCTGTAGTGGAAATAGTATCCTCAAACACTTCAAACTCCCATGCTTTAGATGTTGTTACTGGATATCGCTACGATATTTCAAACTTCGTGAATTTGTCTGCTCCTTTGACTGACCAAGATAAATACGCTTTGATTTGTAATCTCTGGAAACCCGAGTCAACTTACGATTTCCCTGTAACCATCATTAAAGGTAGTGGTCGAAGAAAGTTTCAATATGACTGGTTAAACATGACCGAATTTTCGTGGTTAGCATACTCTGCCAGAGTTGATGGTGCTTTCTGTTTAAATTGTGTTCTTTTTGGGGGCGAGTCCACTCACAATGCTTCTAAACTAAAACAACTATTTAAAGAACCTTTTAAAACATGGAACGTAGCTTTGCAGCGATTTCGTGATCATAATAAGAAATCGCAAGTACACAAAACAGCCACCATTCGTTTCTCTCATTTTAAAGAGGCAATGGAGCAAAGGTCTGTGCCCATCGACTGTCAGCTTAATTCAATTCGACATGATCAAATCAAGAAAAACAGGGAAAGATTGCGACCTTTAGTTGATGCTATTTTACTTTGTGGTCGGCAAAACATCGCATTAAGAGGACACAGAGATGATTCTAAATTCATTGAACAGGCCAATGTGAACACTGGTAACTTCCAAGAAATTTTAAAATATGGTGCCAGGTGTGGAAATTCTTCTTTAAATGATTATCTCGACGCTGCTCCACGTAATGCGACTTATAGATCAAAGACAACAGAGAATCAGTTGATCGAAATTTGTGGAGACATGCTATCATCTAGAATAGTTGACGAGGTTAAACATGCAAAGTATTTTTCTATCTTGATGGATGAAGCCACAGATTGTGCAAATATCGAACAGATGTCTTTGGTTATTCGCTTTGTGGACAAGCAGTTCTTAATTCGTGAAGATTTCCTTGGATTCATTCCATGCACACAGGGCCTATCTGGTGAAGCAGTAGCTAATGCAATTTTAAAACACCTTAAACGTTTAAAATTGTCAATTGATTATTGTCGTGGTCAAGGCTATGATGGAGCAGGGAATATGGCCGGTAAATATTCTGGTGCAGCAGCCCGAATAATGGCTATTCAAGAGAAAGCAGTGTATGTGCATTGTAATTCGCATATTCTTAATCTTTGTATTGCATCATCTTGTAAAGAACAGTTCGTACGAAATATGATGGATGCAGTTCGTGTGACGTCCGAGTTCTTTCGATTTTCCCCAAAACGTTTTGATTTGCTAAAGAAGATAATTAAGAAAGAACTGCCCAACTGCCGTCACAAAGTTATTATCGACGTTTGTAAGACCAGGTGGGTGGCAAGGATTGACGGTTTATTAAATTTTATCGAAGCTTTCCCGGCTATTGTTCAATGTTTAGACGAAATCAAGGATAATGTTGACGGGCACTGGAATGACGGATCAACTGAAAAAGCTAACGGTCTCTATCACAGCATCGTCAATTTTCAGTTTATTTTGGTCCTTGTAATTGTTTCCGGCTTTCTGGAGATAACCAGACCACTTACTGTTCAGTTACAAGATTCTAGTCTAGATGCAAATGCAGCTCGTGAAAAGGTTTCTCTTTTGTTCGTTATGTTGGAGAGGTTCCGATCTGATATTGAAAGAAAGCATGAAACGTGGTTCAAGAATGCTGCTGACCTTGCTGAAGCTGTTGGTACTCTTCCTTCTAAGCCACGAACAACTCGTTTACAGAGTCACAGACCCAATACTCCAGCAGAGTCCATTTTGGAGTATTATCGTAGGGTTGTGTCCATTCCTTTCCTGGATCATCTTATTTCGGAAATTAAAAAACGCTTTTCTGAAAGAAACTTAAACATTTTGGATGCCACATATGGAATGCCAAAAAATGTTTTGTAGAATCCAGAGGGATGGAAAGAAAGATTTTCTCAGTTTCTTAACAAATATAAAGACGACCTGCCCCAGCCTCGTCTTCTTCCCACCGAGCTTGAAATGTGGTTTGAAAAATGTCGTTTATCTAAAGATAGCTTGCCGTCTAACCTCGGCGATGTTTTGAAGTTTGCAGACAAGGCCACTTTTCCTAACATATTAACTGGTTTTCTAATATTCGCAACAATTCCAGTAACTACTTGTACATGTGAACGATCCGTTTCTACCCTAAGACGACTTAAAACATATTTGCGAAATTCCATGTCAGAAAGTCGATTAAGTGCTTTAGCTATGTTAAATGTCCATCGCGAAATCCCGCTTGATATTGACGAGGTTATCGATTTATTTGCAAAAAAACATCCAAGGAGAATTATCTTGCGTGATGTTATAAATGATGATTGATAACTTTGGCTTTTCTAATCCAGTCATCGGCTAATCTTGGTGGTTGCCAAAGCTTGCTCACTTTTGCCAGTAAAAAACATGTTGGGTTTCGCAGTATCTTAGCGAAAAAATGATCGAATATGGCTTAAAATTCAAAAGTTGAAGTCACCATCCACAACTTGTTAGGTAGAGGGAATAAAATCTCTTGACGGAATTCTTGATGCCTATGCTGTGATTTACAATGCATTGGATTATAGGAGTGGTATTACCAACGAAAAAAAAAGAATAACATTTATTATTACTTGTTGCCTGCCTTTAATACGATGATTACATCTTGAACATTTCTTTGCTATATCTACGTATCTTTTTCTTGCTGTTGTTGGAGGAGTGATATTGTCAATGAAAGAAGAAGAATGACATTTATCATCACTTGTTGCCTGCCTTTGGTACGATGATTACATCTTGAACATTTCTTTGCTATATCTACGTATCTTTTTCTTGCTGTTGTTGGAGGAGTGATATTGTCAATGAAAGAAGAAGAATGACATTTATCATCACTTGTTGCCTGCCTTTGGTACGATGATTACATCTTGAACATTTCTTTGCTATATCTACGTATCTTTTTCTGTTGTTGTTGGAGGAGTGATATTATCAACGAAATAAGAAGAATAACATTTATTATTACTTGTTGCCTGCCTTTAGTACGATGATTACATCGTGAACATTTCTATGCTATATCTACGTTCCTTTTCCTGCTGCTGTTGGAGGAGTGGTATGAAATATCAATGCAAATAGGAGAATAACGTCATTAGTTGTCCTTGCCTTCTTTTCACATCACTTTTACTACTGTTAGAAGAATGTGGTCAAAAACGTTTGCTTCATTTGTTTGATATAAGAAGTGCTCATGATTATTTTGTGCTGTGAAATAGTTTCTTTGCTTTTCACAAAAAAAAATATGCCATGCTTCTCCCTTTTTAAAATCACTCGTGTATTGGAATGATACCCTCGTGATTGAAAGTTGTTGAGAAGGTATGAAACTTGAGAAAGCTGATAATAAAGATGAAATTGTTTAATAGTGAAAATTTTCATTTTAAATTATTGAAATTTACGAAAACTTAATTAACTAAGTAAAGCCAAGGTTTTTGCAAATTTTAACGTCAAAATGCGGGAAATCACATTTCCGAGGGTCTAAAATTCAAAATTTTACGGGGGAGCATGCCCCCGGACCCCCCTAGAGGACTCGCGCCTTCGGCGCTCGCAGTACTGCATCAGTCACGAAAATTGCTGGATCCGCCCCTGATATAATATTTTATATAATATTTTACACAATCGTCGAAAAACGACATATTTTCCAGCCTGGATTATAAGTTTATAACTTAAGGTGGTTGCATGAAAATTTATACTGCAACATTTATCTGTAAATATTTTCATATGTTGATATTAAAAACTGTATTATAAAAATATAAAATTACTCGCCATCTCAAAACGACCTAGCACCAGTGCATGCATGGTTTCCTTTTAGCTTTTCGTTCTTTCCCATTAGCCGCCATCTTTAATTTATTTCCGATTGTGTAAAGTAAAGGGCGGTTTGCTGGGTGGAAAATAGTGCTAACCGTTTTTGACCACGGGGTCCAGGCCCCTTTGCCCCTCCAGGTCTTTTAGAGCTCAATGGGTCCAGGCCCCTTTGCCCCTCCAGGTCTTATAGAGCTCAATGATCTAGACCTACTATATCTATGGGTACAGTATTGTAATATGAAATTTGAACAACGTCGATGAAATATGAATCGTCAAAGTGGAAAGCCACGCGCTCAAAACAGTTTCAGTATTCCTTTTTTCTTGTACATGACGTTCAAACAAAAAGGATGGAAGATAGTGAGACAACGTAAGTAGAAAAGCTTTAATATTATTGTATTTATCATAAATATGGCATAGTTCATTTCCTGTTTACGCAGGATGCTTAGTTTTTTTTAAAGCCCTTAAAATTTGCTAGTTTCACCATGGAATTTCACTAATAGTTTGTGCAGAAATGGACGACAGAGAATATGTATGTTTAAATATTATTGAGGCTGGATGAGCATGAAAAAGGTTGGGTGAAATTACTCCATAACCACTGACTTCAGGAACAATTGGGTCCAGTTGAACAGCTAAAGAATGCCCAGGACTTCCCGGGAGTTGGAAAAGAATGCTCGGCATAATGCACCTATCATTGTTAACCAGGGAGGGGGGGGGGAGCGCGGGCGGGCAAAGATAGGGGATTTGAATTTTGAGCAAAAATTTTTGTCAAGTGCCCCACACTTCGCAAGCTGTAAATGTTCAAATTGCATCTAAATGCCCCTACAAGGGGCATTGTCTGGGGTCAAATACCTCACACTCAGGCACATAAAAAACAATTTGTGGTACAGCTTGTACTGCTAAATGCTCAAAATTAATCAAACTTAATAATAAAAGAGGAAAACTAATATGAGCAAACAAAAATGAGTTATTCATAAATGGTAACAACGATAGAGCTCAATAAAGGTGATGAATTTGGAATAAATACTGATTACATACCTCGATTGCTATGGCCAAATTGAAACACATGGACACTCAATTCACTCAGAGCATTATGGTAACCAGCCCGCTAAGAAATTGCTGATCGATGAAAATAATCAAATGTCAAATGCCCCACTTTTTCCGACCCTAGATACGAAAATACTTGTCAAAACCCCTATGATCACCTGCCCTTCCCCCCTTCCCACTTAACATTGATAGGTGCATAACATTCACAACTCTAATAATTAAATAGTTTACATGGTAACAGCGCATGACTGAGCAGACAAAACAATTATATTTTGAAAATATTTTAATAAATATACTATTCTGACTTGTGTTGGCTTGACGAAGTTTGAAATTTTAAGAATATGGCAAGTGATTTTATCATTAACTAACTTGATTGCTTGTGTAATTGTATCACCAGGCATTCTTTTCCAACTCCTGGCCATTCACTGCCCAGGCATTTTGTAGGACCAGATCAATTCCATTTGACCACTTAAAGTGTCAATAACTCCTTCAAATAATACCTCTAGAGAGTAAAATCCTAAAGTATATATAGGGTCACTAGGGCAAATCTGGTGGCATTGCCAGCCAATGGTTAGTGCATTTGCTCCTTTATGTGTACTTCAGTTATTGATCTTTTTTCAGATTTTGCGGTATGTGCTCTGCAAAGCTAAGGAAAGGAGTTAAGTTTTGTTGGAAATGCAATGTTGACCAAACAGTTGCTGGTCCACCTGATGAAACTAAAAATCCTGTGCAACAACAAGGTGAATCATTTGGCAGGCCAGAAGTTGGACAAAAGAGAAAAGCCATGTCTATTAACAGCTACATGAAGGCTAAATCAACTGAAAGGCAATCTGCTAGTTGCTTTCGATCAAAGAAAAAGAACTCTGCAAAGGAGGAGAAAAAGGTCTCTGTGAACATTGGTATCAAAGTTATTTCATCAAATGGACTTAAGACAGTTCGTGGTAGACGCTTACCCGTCACTGTGTCTCACCAAAGCACATATGCTATATTACTGGAGCAAGCAGTACAAAAATGGAGTGCATATGACAAAAACTTTGATGCATCAAAAGAATATGTATTACTCTACGATGACGAGAGATGTGCTCAGTTTATGCCAGGTAAGTTTCTTTTACTTGCACCAACAATTTAATTGAAATTGCATAATGAATCATGATTCCTTTTCAGCCCTTTCTCTGTTCTAGTTTTTTACTTGTCTGATGCCTTCATTCATGGATGGATTTATTGGGAAATGGGACATACACCTTTCTTTACTTGGCCTAGAATGCAAGACAGATACCAATTCCAATGTTAAATAATAATCTGTGAAATGTTCTGCTGACGCTCACTTGCTACAATACGATATGCATTGAATAGTGATTACTAGAATCAATCTAGCTTCCTAGATTTATTCCAATGATAATTTGCATTACCACAGTGCACAGCAGAAAATTTTTAAAACAAATGCATCTCTCTTTTGAGTCACATAAATTCATAGTACCGTATTGTCAGCCAGTATATACACTTTTGTTATGTTTGTTCCTCACCAAAATTCAATATGGTAGTGAAAACATCAGAGAAATGTTGCAGGCTAATGTTGCAAAATTTGCATTTGCTAGATAGGTAGAAAGATAGATAGAACTTTATTTACCCACGCTAACCCTGTCAACTGACGCTGATTTTCAACAGAGGGCATGTTAAAAATGCGAGAAATACTGACAAGTAATACAAATTAGATAGCGGAAATAGCAGAAATAGTTATTTACAAGTGGTAGTGCTTCCATTCCCCATTCAATTTACAATCATACCATACTTCCAATCCGCACAATTTTTCCTTTGACATTCACCTACAATTTATTACAGAAATTAGTCAAGTGGCATTTATTGCAAATGAGAATCAAAATGCTCATAGGAATTCCTGTGGGAAAGATAATTTTCCTTAAATGAAAACAGTTAAAAGTCATGTGATTGAACAATTTTGTCCCATGATATGCCAATGCATCCATTTACAACATATTTCTACTTTTTAGGTCAATATGCTGAGTTTTTCTGCC